TCAGTAGAGTAGCCGCTCTGTTTCACCGCTGTCTTTTTGTGTTGTTTGATGGTTTGTTTTGTTTGTTGGGACCGAGTACTACAGCCGTAGTCGACGAGGCCCGCTCACGCCAAAAACTGTCTAGAGATTGGGCCACACGGGCCTGCAGCGCATTCCTTCGACCCTCACTCCCCAAGAGGGGGCCAAAGGAACAGGGCCCCAAAATGCCGCCGCAGAGCCGAATGGCCAGGGCTAGTTAGGCCACCCATGGCCAGGCTGTGGTTGCACGACCCCACCTCGCGTGGGCGCATAAGCAAGGCGGCTGTCCAGGCCCGCCTGCGAGCCGGATGCCAGAATCGGAATGGAATTGATTAAAACCCGGAATCACGCAGCCCGTGCACGATTTTTGGCGTGAGCGGGCCTCAAAGACAGCAGTTGCTGCACTCGGTCCCAGTAAGACGACAATAATGCAAGAAAACAAAGAGTACGCAAGAAGAAAGAAAAACCTGTACAATGTGAAACATCGCTGCGACGCACAGACTTAGCCGTCAAAGTCGTTCAGCATGAATTAAGTGCATGCGAGCCAGCGCACCGGCCCTGCTCTTGCCATGGTGCCAGTCAGGGGCGGTGCAAGGTCGTGCAGAGCCCCTCCTTGCTCCCAAGTGTTCGGTGTGCGCATCGGTCCTGCAGCCCGTGACCATGAAAGCACAAGGGCATGCCCAGAAGCAACGCCAAGAGCGCATTCTGCAGAGCGTAGCACGCACAAGGCAGCTTGTAGCAAGGCGTATACCGCAGAGTCGAATAACCCAAGCATAACACCAAACGACATGGTCGCTGGCACGATACTGCAAGCAGCCCGGACACGATCACCCTCCCCGCTGCGCGCAGGCACCGCGTAAGGCGCACTGGTCTGCACTCTGGTCGGAAAGCAAGGGCCACAATCGCAACAAGTGGCGGCGTGTCGCCAAGCAGCCTAACTTTGACAAAGGTCGGAACAACGTCATCCTCTGTCCACGACCGCCGCACAGCCACATCCGCGAGGACAGACGTACACGCGGCGCATCGTTCCCAGTATCGCACGGCAGAGGATCTGGCGGATGCTCGGGATTTTCCAGAAGTTCATCATTGAGAGTGTACAGGAAGGTGTACTCACAAGGCTGTAGGCGACGGAGGGAGCTGTAGGCGACGGAGGGAGCTGTTGGCTCGTTTGCGAAAAGCGAAGGCTTGTGGTCTTGGGGCACTGGGGCCCAGCCTCACCCATGCCCTTGTGCTTTCATGGTCACGGGCTGCAGGACCGATGCGCACACCGGACACTTGGGTGCAAGGAGGGGCTCTGCACCGCTCCTGACTGGAACCATGGCAACCTCCCCTATTGGCCATTGCACGACCCAGCATTTACGGGCAGCCGGTGACCCGCTGGCTCGCGTGGACTTAATTCATGCTGAACGACTTTGCCGGCTAAGTCTGTGCGTCGCAGCCGATGTTTCACATTGTACAGGTTTTTGTTCTTCTTGCGTACTCCGAGTGCAGCAACTGCTGTCTTTGAGGCCCACCCACGCCAAACAAAAGCCGGAGCCTCACCCCTTGGGCATACGGCGGGTAGTCAAGACGGAGGCCCATGGGTACATCAGGGAAGTCTCGACGGACGATCTCTTCAAAGCGGCCGGTCACCGTGTGACCTCCCAAGAGGAAGAAGCGTTCCGGATACCACATCGTTTTTCTTTTGGGCCTAGGCAGCCAAACGTCCAACGCAGCTTGTCGATCGTACCCTCCCAGCCAAGGCGCTAGACCAATTGAACACCAGTGTTTGAACTCGAGGTTTGCCAGTGTTCGAACTTCGGGTTCGAACACTCGTTCGAACTGGAGTTCGAAACTGGTGTTTGAAATCGGGGTTCAAACACTGGTAAATGTTTCTTATCTCTTTGTCTTTTCTTCGCCAAAAGCCCCCATAAATTTGTGTTCATGAAAGTTTTATAGACCAGCTCGAACCCGGAAATCGAACACCAGTGTTTGAACTCTGAGTTCGAACAGTGTTCAACTCGAGGATCGAACACTGGTGTTCGACCTGGGGTTTGAATACAGTTTGAACTCCGGGCTCGAACACCTGTGTTCGAACTCGGAGTTTTAGCACTGTGTTCGAATCCGGAGTTCAACTCCGGTTCCTGTTCCAACTTAAGTTCCAGTGTTATGTTCTCCGAACCCCCCCGGCCCTCCCAAGTGTTCGAACCCGGGGTTCCGGAACACTGCAAAAACCTATGCTCCTGTGCAGGTTGGTTGTCCAGACTGAAACATTTTTTTGTGGGGGTGCGCAGATCTCTTGCTGTGAGATCCCTCCAAAACCACCGCAGCCAACATTTCAGAGGCTCGACCGTTTTTGACGGCCAATCCAAATTGATTACGGGCTGCAGGGCCATGTGAGTTTGCAGGGGCAGGTTATCAAAGAGATTGTTTCGACTGCACTCAGTTTCTGCAAAACAACTTCGCCGGCTCGGTCTGTGTCGCAGCCACTTTGTTTTCACTTTGTGCAAGAACTTGTTCACAAAGAAGAGATTGGAGAAGTTTTGACATTCCGCATGGAGCATGTTACCAAAGCTAAGTCGTTCTTTTGTGTTCGTTTGTGTTTGGTTTCAGTTTGTGATTTTTTTCATTTCAGTTTTGATTCGTGTAGCTTCTTGTTCTTTTGTTGTGGTTGTGATTGCGTTTTGTTTTTTAAGTCTGCTTTTCTTATTTTACTTTCTTCGCAAAAACCACCCATAAAACGATTTCGTGTGGCTTCTTCTTCTTCTTGTTTTGTGTGTGTGTGTGAGATTCCGTCTTACTTCATTCATTCTTCTTTTATCATTGTTTTCTTCGCAAAAACCACCATAAAGCGATTCGTGTGCTTCTTCTTCTTGATTGTGTCTTCTTTGAGTTTCTATTTTTTTTGCCCTCGCGGGGGGGTTGGGGGGCGCACCCCTCCCCCATTTCCTTTCCCTTCAAGCCTTCCGTTCAATGCCCTTTCAAGCCACACAAGTACTTTGAAGTTCCCCCTTCAAGCCACCTTTTGCGGCTTGCGGGGCTTAAAGGGAGGCGGGGGGGCTTCAAGGGGCTTCAACAGGGCGTGAAGGGGGCTTAAAGGGGGGCTTAAGGCTTCGAACCTCTCCCCTTAGGGGAGACCCCAAAAGAGGACTTTAAAGGGGCTTAAAGGGGGCTTCAAGGGGGGCTTATTCTCCCCTTTGTCAAACGGGGTGGGATCCATCCTCGTGCATAGAGAGGTTTTTGTTTCTTCCAGTTGAAACTTTTGGGACCGAGCGCAGCAGCCGCTGTCACCGAGGCCCGACCACGCCAAAAAAAATCCTTTCTTCCGCTCAACTCTTCGCCTATCGGAGACGCTGTCCGCCCACTGCCAGTGGCGATGCAACAATGCATACGTCGGCCATTGCGCGACTCTTGATTACGGGAAGCGGAGCCATGCTTTATGCTTGCCATTGCGCAACCCAGCTTTGCGGGGAGCGAGGCCAGTGAGCGAATAGGCCCGGATGCATCTTAATTCATTCTGTATGTCGCAGCCTTTCGTTTCACTCTGCACAGTTGTTAGTTTTCTTTATTGTTCTCTGTTGTTTACTGGGACCGAGCGCAGCAGCCGCTGTCCGAGGCCCGTTCACGCCAAAAAATTAAATCCCTTCAATTTTGAATTTCTTGTTTTATTTTGTTTTTCATCGCCTTTAATCCCAAAACGGACGGATTTTGGAGTTTTGAACGGCTTAAGATTCAATAAGAGCGCAAGAGTTTGTAAGGGTTTTGCACGGAAGTTGGAAGGCAAAAGCGCAGAGTTTAGCGGATTCAGGTGTGATTAGGGTTTGGAGCACAGGTGAAGACACAAGACAGCATCGCAACAATCCGAGTTTGTCTTGCCCGGCTTTGCGATTCGCGAACATTGTCACGTCAAACATCAAGGAAGGCATCTGGGTGGCTGTGGACATCACACAAGGTCACGACTTATTCAATCAACAAAACACCGTCCTCTGACGACATGTTTCCCAGTTGCTGAACAGGTAAAACGTTAGTAGAACGAGGCTTTGTTTGCACAAAATTAAAAACATAAACAGGCGTCTTTTGTGTTGATGTATGCATGCATGCAGCATGTGCAAGGTATGTGCGAGCGCAGGAATCATAATACCAAAACATTGTTTGATGCTGTGTGAGCTATCACAATGGAATAAAACTGCAACCCTGTCGTGTGTCACGTTGAAAACAATAAAGTAGCCTTGAAACGCCGCAATTCAGTATGCTAACGGAAGCTTCGCGGCATCGATGCAAAGCACGCAATGTGCTTCACATCTGTTATGATTTAGACAGGCAAACATTGACCTTCCAGAACAACACATCACATTTTATTCTCTTCTGTTTCCACATGATCGAATGTGCGTTATTGCACTTTATCATACGTTGTGAACCGGCGACTCCAGCTGGTCGATGTCACAGAAACATACTCGCAAGTGTTCCAATGTTCAAATCTTTAAGAAATCTTCCGTTCACCCAAACATTTTTTCAAACATGCACGATGCATGCCACCCAGCATTCGCGTGAAACAGAGGGCGCACCGTGCAGCTTGTAATAGATAACAGAGACGCGCAGTTGTTGGCTCAGGGTTCGAAGAGGTCACACCAAACTCAGTTTCGACAGTAGTCGCGCGGACAGGGGGCTTCTCTCAAATTCAATTTGAGAATTCTGGAATCCAGAATTCTCGAAGGGGGCTTGAAGCCCTTTTCAAGCCCTCTTGAAGGGTCTCGAAAAATTGAAGCTTCCTTCAAAAATTCCTAGATGGAGATGTGTTTTGCAGGGACTTTGTTTGCCCCAGCCCTGCGTTGACTTCCCATTTTGCCGCGGCACTGCATTGGTTCAAAACCAGCGTCATATGTCTTGACGCCCTGGGTCCGAGGCTCAGTTCATGGGACTGAAACATATCTCCACGCATGCTGGAATTGTTGTTGTTCGATGGCTTAAGGCCGACGGGCGATGGCCCTGCGCCCGTAGCGGTCATGACCTTTGCAGGGGCCTCAGTGTTAGTAACGGCGAGCATTCGCAATCTCATGCGTGACGTTCCATGCTAAGAGCTGCCAACCAAGAAGCATGTGTCTGTTGAAGATGCTTCACATGGTTTTCAGGGCATTGGACATGAGCCTTTGCAAGCCGTTGCATGACTGACGGCAGACCATCTCGCAAAGTCACGAGTTTGCCTCGGACCGAGGATTTCGGTAGTGAACGGCAGGCCATGCGCAAACATCTTGGAGCGAGTGAGTAGGACCGACGCATCGTGGTGCATCGAGTCTGTACTCTACCGGCTGCCAGAATCCCAAGAGTCCTGAGAATCCATGGTGACTCTCTCTGGAGGCACTCGTCCTGCGATTCCTTCTGGCCGTGGTCTGTGCAAGGACCTGAGACAACTGATTTGGCAGGAAAGGTTGCTGGCAGTTTCACATGCTTTTCCGCGCTTTTGCCAGGTCCTCCCTTTGGCCAGCGGCAGCTCCAACCGAGCCCTGCGAAGTTTCTTGGATGCGACGTGTTCACACCGTGGAAGACTCAGCAGCCTTTTCTCCGTTTCACCTCAGGTCGCTCCCTCGGTGTAGCCGAGGCCTGGCACTCGTTCCTGCCATTGTCGAGTCTAGAGTCTAGAAGTCTAAGATGTGCCAGGAGGCCGGGAATTCGCTGCAACTCAGCTTGCTTCGGCTCACAGACCACGGAGAACACACAGCTCATGCACTCATGAGCCAGTCCAGCCGGCCGCCGCCATCGAAAGAGCACTGGAACCTTTTGATCCGTGCGCCATGGCTTCGGACAGCTTGGAGGAAGCCCGGAGGCATCATGGGGCTCATCAGGGGTGACTGTGTTGAAGCCCCAAGGCGGCAGAGGCCAAGAGGCATCATCTGGTTCATCACGAATGGAAAGCGAAAGAAAGCTCAAGACTGTGGTTGCGTTTCACCAGGCTTGTTGACGAATCATCTCGGATCGTCGTGCTCACCGGGGCTGGGGTCAGCAGCTTTCTTGCAGCAAATGACCGCTCGGTTGCGAACTTGCAATACTGCATGGTTCCGTTTCAATTTGACTTCTTTGGTCCTTCATGTGTTTGTTCGCTTGCGCATGAGTGTTGAAGAAATGTGACCATGCGAAGGCACAGACTCTGGAATTCCAGATTTTCGGGGACCTGAAGGGCTCTGGACAAAGAATCCAGGCCAGTTCTCAGTTGATGGCCTTTTGACACTCCGGTGCAGCCCAAATTGCACGTGCTGTTTGGCTCGCTGTCCAGGTGCAGAGGAGGCGTCCGACATCTCCGTCTTTGTAAGCGATGAGGGCGCTCGAAAAGCTTCTCTGCTCAGACATTGAGAGTCGTTTCTTCAGCTTATGTCTTGAACTTCATGTGGGCCCTATTTCGTTCTGCCGGATCGGTCCGGGGATTGGCGACATGCTGACCTTCCAGACCAATCTGCGAGAAATGATCAAAGCCTAGCACGATTACCGAAATGGAACCGTTGCAGACTCGGAGTCAGTGGCCAGGTTTTGGCGCATGATGGTCTCCATGCGTTCCGATGGTCACGTGCCGCAGCCGAACGCTGGGCACCGTGCGCTGCTGCATCTTGAGGAAGCAGGTTTTGTATTGTACTTGGTGCTGCCTGCAGGCATACTGGTATGCGCACATGGGGGGTTATTCTTCGTGGGACCGGTGCAAAATGCTGCAGAAGTGCGGCTTGAAAGGAGAGAAAAAAGCTGCAGAAGCTGGTCACACAGAAGCTCGACGCGAAGAGCTGGGCATTCAACACAGCAGAATCAGAAGCTCACCTCCTTTCATGAATCGGCCAGCACCGTGTACAGTAGTCTGTCAAGGAACGTGGATGGGCTTCACCAAGCGGCAGGAACCTCTGCAGAGCGCGTGGTGGAAGTGCATGGCAGCACGCAGGCACATCCAAGAGTGTTATTTTCTCATAGGCCGCGACCGATGTGTCGGCTTTGTGCTAGGAGAGCTGCTGCCTTTCCTGTGGCGAACAGCGCCCCATCGCGGAAGCCTGGAGTCCAAGTCCCAGGTGCGTCTTTGCAGAGAGCACATGCTGCCTGCAGTGGTCCAAATTACCCAATGCCCAGGTTCTCAGTCAGGTGATGTCTGGCTTCCATGATCCACGATGTTCTTGCGGAGGGCTACTGCTACTGGGACTGTCTCGGAGTGATCGCCGGTCCAGATTCCGTGGTGAAAGCAGATCATCTCGATTTTTGAGTCTGGTTTATTTGCAGATTTGCTGTCTTGTGGCTGCACAGCTTCATGACTCTATACCTGCTTGTTGCTTGCACTGATTCGTGTTTTGACTAGTTCTGCGATTGTTCCGTCACCTGCAGTATTGTCATCAACATCCTCCTCCTACTCATCATCGTCATTTTTGTTGCTGCTTCCTCACCTTCCTGCTGCTCCTGTGCTGCTACCCGTACCACTACCGCCTCGTACTACTACCACCACGACAAATACTACTGTGACGAGGACGACGATTACAGCGACGACTGCTAGTGCGACTACGATGACGACAACTACTACTACAACTACAACTGCTACTGCCACGATTATCGGTTCAAGAATTCGACCGGGTCGTTTGCCGATGCCCGGGTGTCTGAGATCCGTAGATGTTAACACACTCATGGTTTGCATTGCACCCATCGGTGAAAGCACACATCCCCGCCAATACAATAGCGTCCGTGGTCGCATTGCATCATTCCCAGAAACCTCAAACGCATCAATCCTGCAAACGTTCCGGAAGCCTCTTCGTGTCTTCTGACCAAAACCTGCTGAACACTTGAAAAACTAACCACGGACGGTGCATCAACGGAATTTCCAAGAACCTGCCCAAAACTCCAAAACGCTCGCGAACCCGGAGGCGTTCAGCACATGCATACAAACAGCCCACTACCACTACCACAACCGCACGGTTTGGCGGCTCGATATTGCCCAGAACCTCCTTTTGTCGAAGAGTTTCAGGAAAGGAAGGCGAATGTGGTACTCTTTGGAGAAGCACTTCCGCCTCTCGCTCTGGCAACGTGGCTTTGCTGGCATCCGGAGTCCAGATTTGCCTTGGTTTTGTGTTCACATAGGTAGTTCTCAAAATCAGGGTCCCTTTCTCGTCCCCAAAGTGGCACGGCATCCTTGCAAAAGGGGGTCTAAGAGAAGGGACCTTAATTTACCGAGAACTACCCACATGTCGCCTTCACGAAGCTCTCGGTCTGGGGCTGAAGCTTTTTGCTGGGGGAAACTGGTTTTCGTGAGCCCCCGGCCTCGCATAGTCTTCACAACTAGGCCTGAGCCCGAAGACTTGAGCGCCTCGACTCCCTCCAGGGCTTTTGAAGCTGCCCGCGACTGCGACCTTCTCATGTGCATCGGCAGCACCTTGTCGGTCTATCCCGCCCGGAGCTGAGGCTCAGAGAAGCTGCCAGATGTGTGTTGACACCGGGGATACTGACCGATTTTCGGCAGCTTCGGGGTCTTTTGGATTCTGGATGCTTTCGGTGTGGCTTGGACCTCTCGTTTGTTGGTACGTTCTTTGATACGTGAGTGATTGATGTTTTGGTGTTGTTTTCGGCTGCTGCTCTTAGATCCAATCATCTCCGATTGCAAGTTTCGGTCTCGAACTGCCTTTGCCGTAGCTTTGCTGAGCCGTACAACCAAATGACCGAGGTTGCTGCCATGGTTCCTGAAGCCAAAGAGTGCGGCGCCAAATTGCTGTGCCTTTGCCTGCAAATCTAGGTCCTGGTCCTCTCATCCTGTCGAAATGGCACGCATGATGCTGTGAGCATTCCAGGATCTTGAACCAGGGCCCAACGGAGTTTGACGAGCTTGCCGACATACGTCTTTCAGGCCGGAGAGTTCTCGACAAAGCCTGGCGGCTCGATGTGTTCTGAGCGGGGAGGCTCGATCTCCGGCGTGCTCCCGCAGATCTGCGGTTGCGACTCGAAGCTCTGATGGCAGACAAAAGGAGAGTTGGAAGAGTCTCAGCTCCTCAGGGACACGAGCCAGCTTCGTGGCGTCATTCCGGTGTCTGTGCCTGCCATGAGGGGTTTTGCGAGCAGTGACGCCTCGCCAGGCGACGCTTAGCATCGACACAGACCTTCAGAGAAACACCAGCAGCCCCTCAAGTAACCTGGCTTCCTGGAGGGGACGAGCATGTGGATACTTCTAATCTCTTGTTGCAGTCCTGGCGTGCAAGGCAACAGCAGTGGGACAAGCGGCAACAGCTCGAGTACACTTAGCTCCGCTGCCGCAAGTTCCCGCAACACTTCCAGCCGTGAGCTTATGTTTCGATGCCTGTGCCGAGGACACATGGCAGCTCTGTCGATGTGCCTGGACTGCACCGAGGCCTGCAAGACGTGCTCAACAACGGCCTGGTGGAGGGGAGCTCAGTGCAGGGGCTTCTTCAGGGATTCTTGCGACTCTCTGAGAACATGGAGCAACGATAGATCATGTTTCCAATGGAGCTGCAACACGGCAAGATCGTTCAGCCAGCGTGACAGTGCCCGTAGTGCATAGAATAACAGCTCCTTAGTTGAAAAAAGTATCGTGTGGTGCCCGAAGAGTTGCGAAAATGGAGATTCAAGCACCATGCCTGCAGTTCAGTTTATAAACCAGTTCCTGCGACTGCCATGGTCAATATTGCAAGACTTTGCTCCTCATAGTGTTCCCGAAACTCTTCTCTGCTGCGAGAGAGTCTCCATTTGCGGAGCCCCCAAACCCGAAGCCGCTCCTTCAGGAGATTGTTTCGATCAAGGGAGTCGCAGCAGGGGTTACCCTAGGCTCCCATTTAATTAAAGGAAGTCGTGTCGGAGAGCCATCGTACAGCCCAAATAACGAAGGAGAGCCTCTTGAGAGCAGGCAACCTTTGGAAAATTCTGACGTAGCCCAAAACCCGAGGCCCTGAAAAAAGCGCTGGTTCACAAGAGTCTCGCTGTCCCGTCCCTGCTGAGGATGGCAAAATCAGCACACTGTACTGGGCGGAGATTGACAGGACCATTGCAGCCGCAGGTGCCGGCTTGCCGGTTTGCTTGTGTCTGTTGGCGGGGGGTGCACTTCGGAAGTGAGGTCAACACCTTGTGCCAAGCATGGTGCAAGAGCGACATCAAGAATCAAGACTCAATTCAATGCCAAACGCGAGGCCTCGTCACGCCCCAGCCACCGTCGCTGAACGATCTTGGCCCGACTCCCACGCCGGACCCGCCGGGCCCTCGATTCAGGTTTCGAGCCTGACAACACGTCACCAACTAGGGATGCTAAAAAGGTACATCATATCTTTGCTCGGCTATTTCAGGTATACATCCATCTTGGGTGTCCAGAAGACCGCCTCAAGCGCCGTCCAGAGCTGAGACAGGGGCGCTTCTTGGGCAGTCCGCAGGTCGTGCGTTCGCACCGTGAACGCTGAACCCAAACTTGAGACTTTCGATGCGAGAGCTGCTGTTCAGACAGACATTTCGCGCAGGACAAGCATAGCATCACCCGTGTATATTGCACCGAGGACGATGCCACAGCCACGCTGGCAAACTACGAGCTTGTCACGCCGCGTGAATCTCAGATTTCTGAGGGTTCAGTTTTTTGGCTGCGTTTTTTGAACCCTTCGTTGAGTCACAGAAAAGCTGTACCCCCTTAGCCATGCCCGCTCTGCACTTGGCTTTGACATTCTGGCTGCTGTTGCCTTGGGAGGCCACCGCCTATCCCGCCTCACGCGGCGAGTGTGCCAAAGGCACGGCGCAAGAGAGCCAATGTGCTCTTTAACCCAGAATCCGCCCCTATTCCAGGGTGAGCAGCAGCGTTTGAGAAGGGGTTCTGAGCAGGGCCGAGACATCGGGCAGCTTAAAATTCAAGCAGACTGTTGAGCACCGCACCCACCTCTCTTTCTTCGCTGCACCATGAACACTTTTTTGAGGCATTAGCTGCTAGCTCAAACTTGATTCTGCAGTGTCCCAGCAGGTGAGCGTCTTGCCCTACCAGATGACTCTTGGCGCAGAGGTACTGCCACTTGCCTTAATAGCGGCAGTTGTCGTGAAGAGTGCATCTTCTCGTCTCGACAAACGGGAGGGTCCTTCCGATGGAGAGGCCCGAATCGTCAATTGTCACTTGAAGGGTAGACTGTAGGTAGGACGGTGAAACTCAGCTCACTCTGGACTTGCACTAAACGGCACGCGTAACATCCATCTGAGTTTGAAAGCTAAGCCCACACCAGAGCAAAGACATACCAGCAGGATCTAAAAACAGAGGTAAACAAAGGGTAACAGAATGGCAAGTAAACACTTACGTTTAACAGAACGGTGCAGAGGTATCCGGAGAAAGCACAGGTATCTATTCTGGATGCCAGTGCCTCGTCTTTGTCGCCTCTTTCTTGGCTTTTGCCCGTCAAATTCTTAGTTTTTGCCTTCGCTATGTCCCTTTTTCTGACCTTCTTAGTCGTCCCCTCAGCCGCTTGTTGGCTTTGCTTGATCTTCCTGTTGCATATTGCTGCGATTGCCCTCGTAGCACTGGGCAAGCTGTCTTGAGGATTCACTTCCCCGCCAGCGCGTGTAGACTCGATCGGTTGCCCGTTGTCTCTCAGGCGCGGAATGTCTGAGAAGGTCACGCCGGAGCCCTTGCCAGCGCAGGCCGTCCAACAGCTGGCAAATCATTTTCGGCTTTGACGCAGATAAGCCAGTTAGGCACAATCAGGGTGCTGTCTGGAGGAGTTGGTGGATGCATCTTTCGCTGCACAGTGTCGGACCTAAACACCGAGCACAGCCAGGGGGCACATGCAGCGTGGTGCAGTTACTTCGGGTGTCATGGACATGGTACTTTCCGACTTATCCCTAGCGTCCGAAGCCGAAGGACGAGTGCAGTCTTTGAAGCCGCGCCTGGGTGAACCAAGCAATGTTGCCTGCTTAGGTGTCCGATGGTCATGCTTTCCAACGACGTCTTTGTCACGTCCGCTACTCACGGGTTTCAGGTCTCTTTCGTGCCTGCAGGGTTGTGGGCCGCAGACGGATCACGAGTCCTGCATCTTCGCGCAAGGCCTCCTTGTGATCACGGAGATGGATTTGGAACATGGTCTGATCCTGCCAACACCAGGAATATCCTGAGGCCAGCACTGGCTACTTGCCGGAAGTGTTGCAGCTTCGCCGACGACATCTATGTTTCGTGGCACCTGGCAGCTTCCCGTGTAGAGCAAGGATTGCGCCCAGACGCGATACTCCAATAGTCTTTCCCTTTTCCTTTCCTGGCCATGGCAAACGAGTCTCCCATCCGCTTCGCCTTCGCCTTTGGCATGGCCTCCGGGCACATCAACCCTTCCCTGCCGATTGCTCGGGCTCTGGTCAAGCTGGGACACGAGGCGGGAGGATGCAGGAGGGGCCTGCCGAGGGGACCCTTTCTTTTCAAAGGTCGCGCGTCCTTCGCCCGTGTTTCCAGGTGCACTACCTATCCCGAGAGCAGATGCGGGCGCCCATCGAGGACACCGGGGCGCATTTCACCAATGAGCTGGAAGAGTGCCCTGAGCTTTACGAAGGCTCGGATCAGGGACGTAAGATATGCATGACATGGGGGAGTGTTCTGCCGCGTCTTTGCCGCGAGGCCGGAAGGAAGACCTCTTTGGTGCCACGGAGGCCCTCAAGCTGGAGCACGGCCTGGAGGAGGATCCAATGATGCTCTCCTGGGTCAAGTTGGCCCCAATCTCCCTGGAGCTGGGCTTGCCAGGGGTTCTGCGCTGGATGCAACGGCTGCAGCCGCAAGTCCTGGTCTTCTGTCCTATGCTCAACAGGGATGCCTTCTTCGCAGCCAAGATTTTGGGCATTCCCCGCGTCCCGCTTCTCACCACGGCCGGCCCAGGCAGCATGGTCTCTGTGATCAATCAGTTCCTGTCCTGGTCAGGGCTGTCGATGCCAGAGATCATCGAACGCGCTCGGAAGTTCCCCGCCTCTGCCGAAGCCATCCGACGTCTGGCGGACATGGGCGTTAACTACGAGGCTGAGCTGGAGCTCAGTGCCAAGAGCCCTGGTGCAATCGGCTGCATGGTGCACAGCCCAATAACCATCGTGACCACCTGTGAGGACATGCAAGACCCGGTGCCGCCCGAACTGGATGCAGTCTATTCCTCGCAAGGCGCGAAATTTGTCTACGTCGGACCGCTCCTGGACCAGCCGGGTGCCCGACGGGCCGCCGGCCACAAGTTCGCGCAGTTCGCGCACTCCGACTCCAGCGCAGAGAAGGCACGAGATTCGCCAAAAGATGTTTTGGAGGAGCTGCGTGATGCCCGGGATGCCGGTCGATTGATCGTGCTGGCCAGCATGGGGACCGTGATCACCGGAGACAGTCCCGACTTCGGCTGGGCTGTGAAGCCTGTGGAGTCACAGAGACAGGGACTCACGGGCAAGCAGTTGTGCCAGGCGGCTTGGAGTGGTGTCTTCGATGCTTTCGGCGCCAAAGAAGGAGACCTTCTGGAGAAGACCCCGTTGATCTTGGTGTCAGTGGGCCCACAGAAAGATGCACTCGACAGCCTGAAGGTGCCTTCGAATGCGATCTGCAAGCCAGTCTTGCCACAGGTTGACCTTCTCAGAGCTGGCGTGGACATCTTCTTGACACATGCCTCTTGACTGACTGTCGTGGATGTGATAGGATGTGGGTGTTTGGGGAGGGGGGGGGTAGAGTGCAAGTAGCGAGTTCTTTTGTTAAAGAAGGCCCTTGAACCTCACTTGTTGACCAAGCTGAGGGGGGTCAGAACAGCTTCATGGAGTCCCTTGCGGCGGGAGTCCCGGTCGTGGTGTGTCCGGGCTTCGCAGACCAGCCCGCAAACGCCCAGAAGGCTGCGGAGCTCCAAGTCGGGCTGCAGGTGACCCGGCCTGTCCCAGCCGAGGGCGAGGCTGGATCATGTCCTCCTAAGCTTTTCATGAAGGGTGGATGGGGAGGGCTTTCTTTTTCTGGGCTTTTTTTTTCCCCGTGCTCTTTGCAGGAGGATGCTGCCGCAGCTTCTTACACCACCTCCGTAGCGGAGGCCCTGCGCCGGGTAAAGCAGGAGCCGGTCTTCCGCACAGCAGCCGCCGAGTGCGGCCGAAAGATCACCGAGGCCGGGGGTGTCCAAAGGACCGTGGACATCCTCCTCGAGACTGGAAGGGAGAGGCCGCTGCCGACCCTCCTCGCGAACACAGCCCCGACGAGCCACGCCGTCAAGGAGTGCAGGGTACAGGCCTGATCAAAATAGAAACGTTGAAGAGGGAAAGCAATTTTCTGCACAGAACTTTTCGCGTGCCGAGAGGGCATGCTGCTTCACACATGCTGGAGCGTGAATTTGGCAAAGTCCCGAATGGATCGACCAGCCGGCTTTGGCCAGCGGTCCTCACAGCTCGACTTTAGTACAGCGGCAGGCTTTCCTGCCAACATGCACGGAGCAGAAGATGCGCCACGGCCGTTCGAGCAGCCTCGTTTCGCGTTGGTGTGTAGACTTCACACTGGGTGTCTCTCTCATGGACCTGGTTCAGGTGGAAGCCCAATGACCGGGGAGGCGTTGACTACAATGTGGACTCAGTTGCTCGGTAGCATACTTCAGCACCTGCAACCAGCCTGAACCAGCGACGTGAAGTGTTGCGAACGTTTCGGCATCATTCCAAGGCTCTTGCAAGTCTAGTGAGTCTAGTGTAGCTTCCATGTTGATTATGGGCCGAAGAGTATCATCGAAGAGGCCATCACCCAACGGATAGAAGCGCACCAGGCTGTGACAGGGCCCGGCAGCGTGAACTTTGCTGTGCAGCCCTGAGCTACTCGCGATTTGAGTCTGCTTTCGTGGGAAGACCGAAAGCTGCCAGACGGTGACGGAGAAGTTCACCTTGAGCTCGAACACCTTCGCCTTGTCTGGAACCCGGGAGCTAAGAAAGAAGGTGATGTTCGGCTCGTCTCTCGTCTCTCGTCTCTCGTCTCTCGTCTCTCGTCTCTCGTCTCTCGTCTCGTCGATGAAGACTTCTGCTCCGTCCGGCCCGTGGCTCTCCTCGGTCGACGGTTTGGGCTTTGGGGGGTTTAGGATGGTTTAGGGGTTTGGGGGTTCAGGGATCAGAGCTTGGGGTTTAGGCTGGCGCTGATTCCAAGAGGTACAACTGCATGAACGTCATGCGCTACACCATCGAGGTTGGTCCGTTGTTTGGCCGGGCCTCTCTGCCTCAGGCTTTTCCCATGGCACCTCGCCTGTCAGGAGACCATCGTGAAGGTGGCGCACATGGCTCCGGCGGCCCAGTCCACGGCCTCGGACCACGACCTGGGCGAGGCCCCACGGAGCCGCTTCTGCATAAAACCTAGCGGCTTGGTCCCGTTTTCAGACGGCTCCGGCGGTCTTCTACCAGTATCTCATCAAGCCGCTTGGCCGCAGTTCAAGCAGGGGTGTCTCGGTAGGCTCTGTATCTGGTATGGGCCGCGCCAAGAAGGCCTTCTGCTTCTCAGGCATGCGAACGGTTCTCTGATGGCACAGACCTCTCAGTACCGTTTGCCGGAAACAGACGTCTGCGACCCAGAAACGAGTTCGCAAGCATGATGTTGTTGCATCTCGTTCCGGTCAGCGTTGCTTCGAGATCAACTTCACGTCCTTCATTCCCGGCAGCTTGCAGACAGATGTCTTCGCGGTGTGTGACTCAGCTTATCCCCGTCCAGAGGAGCAATGAGGTGCGAGAGCGGAGCGAATAGTGTGCATCCCAAAAGCTTCATGTCACCAAGCCTAAGAAGGATTTGCTGCAAATGTGTCCATTGTTGGCTGGGATTCCGGCTTGGGTTGTCTGGAGGAACGAGGTAAAAAGCTTTTTACCATGAGGGGGAGCGACAGGTGTCCGAGGAAACGTAGAGGAACGCAGCAGGGACGGACGAGTAGAGAGCGTCTCGTAGATTCAATGTTGGGTCAGGTGGACACGCTGCGGCACATGTGAGCTGAGATCGGGAACCCGAAGCAGTTCTACCCGTTCCTCAACTTCCCGTTTCGTCTCAATAGGAAAACAACCAGCCGGGCTTTCAAAGGTCTGCATGCTGTTCAGTTGCAATCTGAGGGGCTGAGGCCAACACCTTTGGCATTAGACTTCAAGGGAACAGAAGGAGGAGAATAGAGCGACAGCGAGAGAGAGACAGAGAGACCCCTCACACCGAGTGGCCAAAGATGCGTGTTTGACCCTGCAACTGCAGGGATAGGTGCGAGGGTGAGGGGCATGACCACCGAATGAAGTCTAATCAGACAGAGAACCGCAGAGACTGACAGAGAGCGAGAAAGACAGACCGTCTCAAGCCATCAGCCGTTGCTCAGATGGCGAAGCGTCAGGGGCGCTGGGAGGGCACCGGATGGCGCGATTGCCGCACTCCTCAGAAGGTCCTTGGGCACTGTTCGGTTCTTTTAGGCTTGATTGTGAGCTTGAACTGAAGAGGTGGAGTGATCAGAGTACACCTTGCTCTGAAACAGCTCATGTATGTCTGCCAGGGTTGGAACATTTCCTTCCCTGAGAAGAAGGGGGACAATTTGGTTGCCATTGCCACAGTGCAGGACAGCTGCACTGGCACGACCGGATTAGAAGCCAAGCGCACAGAACTCTCGACGCTTTCTCTGGGAGCTGCATGCGGAAACAAGAAGCTGTTTCTATGATGCTGCGGAACACGGTGCAACCTGCCAGGATTTGCAAGTAGCTGCCTTGACAGTCGTGCTGCGCTAAGAGAAGCATCGCAGAACAGCTGAGTAGAGTGCACTGTTTGCGTTCACAGATTTTGCACTTTCAGCCCCGTCTGCTGCCCAGTTGACCTTGCTCGCATGGCGGGAAGAGACAGTCGGCTCAGACGGATTTGAGCATGCAGGCAAGGAGCAGTGTGGAGAAGTGAGAGAGGTATTGTGCTTTTTCTCGACATAGAAACGCTTCTAAATGGTTTGTTTCGTGCGAGTAATGACGGTCAGGTTTGCTACGATTTCATCGCTGTAGCTGGATTATAAGAGTGATAATGACGAATGAACAGAGACAAGTGCCAGAATAGTGATAGCACTGCTAAGAATCTTGCGAATCTGCACTGTCACCACCGCCACTGTTGCTGCCTACTGCTGCTGCTGCTGCTGAGGCTCCTACCGCTGCTACTACTGCTACTGCTGCTACTACCATTACCACTGCTACTGCTACTACTACTACTGCTGCTACTACTACTACTACTACTACTATTGCTGCTGCTGCTGCTGCTGCTGCTGCCGCTACTGCTACCGCTACTGCTACCGCTACTGCTACCGCTACTGCTACCGCTACTGCTACCGCTACTTGCTGCTGCTACTGCTGCTGCTGCACTGCCGCTGCCCTCACTACCACTGCCACTCCTACTGCCACTGCCACTGCCACTCACTACCACTTCCACTACCACTGCCACTACCACTACGCTACCACTACCGCCACCACCACCACCACGACCACCACCACCACCACCACCACCACCACCACCACCACCACCACCACCACCACCACCACCACCACCACCACCACCACCACCACCACGAATACCACTACGACCACGGCAACGACTGCGACTACGACTGCTCGTGCTACCACGCCTACCACCTCTCCTGCTGCTGCGTCTGCTGCTGCTGTTGCTGCTGCTGCTACCACACCACAACCACAACCAGAACGGCAGTGACGACGACCTCCGCTCTTGACTTCTACTGCGATTTCGACAAGAACAGCCTTCAGAAGAAGCACAACTGCATTAATGGGAAGATCATCCACTTGTGTCATTGCTATTTCAACTATTCCTGTTGTTACTGCTGACGCTCTTCTTCTCATTGTTCTCATTATTTGCACGACTATGGTCGAACAATGGTCTTAGTAGTAGTATTGCCGTAACTACTACTGTTAGTATCTTACAGCATCAACGTTCATGACCAGTACCCATGCTTGCATAGTTACAAGTAGTGTCTCTATTCCACGCTCAACACATGCAAACATCAATTTCGAAAAATGCTCATAGGATGTGTTTTAACAAGAGAGTGTCAAGAAGAGCATCCGCATGGAAAAGAAACATCATCGTCCGGGTATCATGGGATGGAAAGCCTTCGTCAAGCATTTATGGTCGTTTCCAACAGACACCTGCCAGGCCAGTTCTCCATGTACTGGTCGCTGGTGAGCCCTTCGCGTTGCTGGTAGCTTTGGAAACTGGACATAAACCCAAACCCTCAAGGTCCTTGTGTAGCTTTCATGCTTGGGGGCTCTCTGCCGGATATGGAGAGCACGGCTAGATGACATGTTCATGTGATGCTGCACCTTCCCGGGCACCTCGGCTCGCAGCTAGTGCTCCGTGCAATCCATGCCTGGAGCGAATTTTGAGGACCGGGTTTTCCAGCAAATGCCTGAGCAGCAGTCATCAGTTCGGAGGCCTCTGGAAACCTGCCACCCAGCGCAAGCAGAATAGAAATACAAAGCCTCCACCAGATCCTTGCAGGAGACGCAAAAGGAGCGGCCGCGCCCTTTTATGCTCCCAAGTCACCTCTTGTTGGCCCGCCACAGGACCGGCAGGGTATTTGGAAAGGTTTCGTTCAGCCACTCTGCAGTATGTCTGCGACTGCAGCCTTGCAGTAGCTTATCAAGTGTCCTTTACTTTGAATACCGTTGCATGCAAATATGTTTTGTCCGTGACCTATCTTGCTTTCAATGCTCGGGATTGCTGGTCGAAGACATGCGATTCCCCCCAGGACCACGGGATCTCTTTAGACCTGCCGCTGAGCTGAAATGGTCGGGCGGAGTATTATAATCTTCAAATCGAGGTGCTGCATGATGGTTGCTCTTGTATATGAATGCCATACATCGGTGATCCGAGTTGTCTAGTTCCCTGTGCACCCTATCAGTCTTGCGCAAGGAATCTGCATGCCTCCGAAGGCATCTCAGTAAGCGCAAGGACTGAGTGCCAGCCATTAACTTTCTCGTGAGTGGAACATAGAGACATAGAGACATAGAGACAAGTAGAGGCAAGAGAGAGGCTCCGATCTTGCCGAGAGCGCCGTCGGGAGATGAAGCAGGGTAGGCTATCGTGGAGTCCTTGCAGGATCCTGGTCTAAACTGTCGCAACCATGGCGATGTGCAACATCCCGTCCACGAACACCGACCCTCAGTACCGCTCGGCTGGCATGTTTCAGGTTATTGGCGTTATGCCGGGCTCGCCTGAACCTTTTTTGGTTGCAGACCCCCGGCTTCTTCCCTCTGGACAGTACAGGTGAGACTGCCTACTCTCTGTCTCTCTCCTCTCTCCCTCTCTCTCTCTCTTCTCTCTCTCTCTCTCTCTCTGTCGTCCTCTCTCAGAGATCCTTCCACCCCCGAAGTCACAGTTGGCCAGGCTACAAGATGCCACGGCTGATGGCAAAGGTCGAGGGTCGTGGGAATGGCCGTGCGGCTGCAGTTCTGGCTTTGTGATCGTTCTAACCTACTTCGGGATCCGAGGAGTCATAGTTACAGGACTGTGGGCTTCAGCTTCAGGTGTCAGGGTCACGCACGTTTCAGATCTGCCAGAATCTGCCTGACCCAGGTATCAAGACCTGCATTGTGAACATGGGAGAGGCTTGGCGGGCATGGGCAAAGGGACCTGTGACTTTGATCTGAACATGACCACAAAGCGCTCAGCCTTAGTTGTTGGGACTGTGTAAGCTTCAGAGCCCCAGCGAACAGGTTGCCCGCGCAATCAAGCGACCGCCGCCGCAAAGCAGCAAAGTCATGTGACTATGTCGATTTGCAAGTGTGCCGTGCTTCGTCAAGCCCGTCTTCGGCGATCCAGGCAGTACGTGACAAAGTTCTTTGGCAACGCAAGGGCCTCTGAGACCATATGTGCACCAAGGGCACCAGTACAGGCAGGCTGCAAGGGAACCGCGAGAAATGTGTGTTGCATGCGCAAGGACTTGGGAGCTCAATCAACCTACACGAACAAGGCTCCCATTACGAGATGTATTGGCCCTCATGGTGTCCTCACCTGGTCGTGTGCCAGGAAGGAGAGGGGGAGCGATCCATCGTTCGTGGGGCACATCAGGTGGAGGCCGGGGCCATGCGGGCTGCCTTTCATCCTACGTACGGGTCCGAGTCTCTTGAAGGTTCCATTTTATCAAGCCGTTGCATTGGCTTGAGAATTTTGGGCTCCAGAGTTCCCGCGAAGCATGTCTCTATTATGTGTGGACGTTTACATGGGCAGCGGCAGAGCGCTGCAGATCTCGCTGGGAGTTTCCGCGACAGTTCGAGACGTGCAGCGCGGCATCATTTGCTCAAGGGTTTTTTCTTGGCTGCGGTCCTGTAGTCTCTGTTGTGTTCAGGCTGGCCTGAACCCTAAACCGCAAATTAGGAAGGACAGCATATCGGAGATACTGCACGTCCGGCCACATCACCAAAGGTTGATCCTTTCCGATGCCAGGAGTGCCAAAAGACTGTTCGATTCCCAACGCGTCCTGCAGCTGTCGTCAAAAGACACCTTCGGGACTGTCGAGTTGTTGCTGGTTTTAGACGCCGAGCTGTGAGCTCAAGACGAGGGCAGGGATTCTCTGCACCGAAAACAGCGAGATGTCCATGGAGGAAGAAATCCACGAAGCTTCCAAGCCTTCGAAGTTGAGATGCCAGCCGTCGGGCTGTCAGAGGGTTACCTACCTTAAAGTGTTTCAACAAGCAGCTGATCGCGCTTGCAACGTGGATGTCGGAGCAGCCAGGAGGCTGTGGGCCGTGAGCCAATCGAATTCGAGAACAGGAGTCCAAGTTTTGAAAGCCCATCCGAAGGTTGCTACTTTTATACGTATATGTTTAATGGCCTGCGCCCAGTGAGCCAATTAGTTGTAGTCGTCAGTCACAGCATAGCTGTTCGCAGTACCTCCGGATAAGCTGAAAGACTTAATGCGTTGTATGTGTATGCAGGAGTCTCCATGCAGGAGAGCGGGACGTGTGCTGTGCGCACACTCACTCGTTTGCTGCAACCGTTGGAATGGGCGAATCAGGTGCACAGTTCCAACGTACAGTCTTGCTAAGAGGTCTTGCTAGAATTAGCCTGTTCGAAAAGACATCTGAAGCGAACCCTGACGTGGAACATGCCTTGGAGTTGTGTTGCTTGCAGTGGAGTCTCCATTGCAGGCTAATGCTTCCTCCTTCGTAGTTGCTGTCGCTGTCGTAGTTTCCAATTTTAGGCGGATCAGCTCGGAATCCAGGTGCTGCTTCGTTGAATTCTTCAGGTTCAGAAGCCAGTCACCAGGAAACCTGGCGAGAAGCTTTTACGTTGAGACGACGAGGCAATTTAGCTGGCTGCCTTGGGTCATGCGATGTCTGCGTTCTTGCACACACAGCAAGTGACAGGCAGTGGATTCTCCGCTGCATGTCACAAGTCCATACAGCCGTGATAAAATGTCCGTGCCGTCCTCTCGTTTCACTCCGCCATCCCGACCTCTCGCTATGTGGCTTGGCCAGCGGGTTAAAGTCTCACGATGCAGTAGCAATCAGTCTCGTTCTTGTTCATGGGGGGCTTTCTTGGAAGCAGTCACCCTCCAACCCGAACATCGTTGATCCGTTAAGTCGCAGCTGTTGGCCGCACTGTGACACAGGACTTGCGGACTTCACTGGATAAGTTCATCGAGAAGTACGTCTGCTGTGAGAACTGCTGCTCGGCGGTGTCTCAAGAGCTTTCTGTCAGTTCTTGAAGAACCTTAGAAGGAGCAGCTTGAGTAGTCGAGATGCCTGCGAAGAGCAATGCTGTTGCGGGTCTGGTCGCACAAGTGCTGTTCTTTCAGGATCCCGCCATGCTTACCTAGTCAGGAGGTTGCTTGCTTGGTAAACGGAGGCGACCTTTAGGCCCAACTTTTCCAGTGGAGGTGTTTGGTCCCACATTCCAAGGCCATCTTCCCGAGATTGATATGTTCATCAAGAAGGGCATCATCCAGGAGAGCCTCCTCCACCTCAGATGTATGACCCCTCTTGAAGTCTTGTCGGGGGGAAGTCTTGGATAGAATATAGTCATATATATATATAGTCATGTATATATATATATATATTCTACTACATTATCTATATATATATATATATACATATATATTTCTCTCTCTGTCTCTCTCTCTATATATATATACAGAGTATAGATGCTGGTTGAACTCGGTCAACGTCGAACCTCCAGCGATTCTCTACGCGCTTGTCGGGGATCTTGCATCTACAGCGCGCTCGGGCGCAGAGTGATAGAAGACAGCTTCACAGCTGTACCCGGAACGCACCTCTGCATGAACGATTGATTCTGTGTTGTTGACAACAGCGGACAGGCATTGGATGTTGTCGTGGCTTAACTTGCCAGCCCCCGCAGGGTCGATGCAACGCCTGTGGCTGGCAGGGTGAACTTGACAATGTGGACAAGCCCCTCGGCAGTGCAGTTCCTTCTGGACGAAGTTGTAAGTTTTCGCATGAGGACCTGTTGAAAGCAGGGTTTTCAAAGCCGGCAGACTGTAAAGTGTCCTTTTGCTTAAAGTCTCACTGTTACTCTGTCTGGCAAGTCCATCAAGGCTGGCGGCTTTTATCCTCAAGAATCCGTCACGTTCTCAGTGGTCTTTGCCAGTCCGGCACTATGCAAAAGGTGTTGTGGAGCTAGACATGTTGTGCTGGTGCTAAGTCCTGACGAGTCTGGCCATGGCTTGAGCACCATGGAAGCTAACGTCAAGCGCAGCAAGAAGCCCAAGGGTGGCAAAGAGGACATTGCAGTCAGAGCATGTGGTCCCGCATGGTACACCTATTTTGCTATTCCGGACAGAGACGATCCTGGCCTGGCAGAACTGCCAAGGGCTTCGGTCTTGCTTAAGCGCAAGCCCAAATCGGCCAAACTCTGATATTCATGACGTTGGTAGCGGAACCCAGAAAGCCGCAGGACAAGAATGCTGACGACGACGATGAGGCGCAGCTTTAAGTACCAAGATCGGATGCGAGAGCACGCTCAGCTGGCCGCGGTGTCTCCGCTTGTGATCAAGGATGATGACGACTCTGGCAGCGCTAAGGCCCTGCAGCCTTAAGAGAGTGAAGCTACGAAGTCTTCTTGCTGGTTGAACGTCCACGAGCTTTGACAGAACACCAGCAGGAGAAGAAGGAAAAGAAGGAGAAAAAGGAGAAGAAAGAGAAGAAGGACTGCGCCACTGCGCCGTCTGCATGCTTGTACTGTCTTCAAGGACGATTTTGGTGAAGTAGTCAAGCTGCTCCTTACAAGCAGCAGAAGTGAGCGTATTTGCACGGGGACCGGCCATTTCCATGAAGGAGAAAAAGAAGAAGGAAGCCGACGACAGCGACGAAGATGACGAGAAGGAGAAAAAGGCGGGCAATTAGCATCGCACTACGGAATCATGCTTGTCTAAGCTGATGTCACCCTCACTTTGGCAGCTCGGGTTCCGAGGAAAAGAAGGAGAAAAAGGAAAAAAAGGAAAAAAAGGAGAAGAAGGAGAAAGACAAGGACAAGGAGAAAAAAGAGAAGAAGGCCAGGATCATTCAGGTGTGACGAAGTGGAGCTACCTCGTCACCTGAATGCCGCACAGAGTTGGCCTAGCTTAGGGCGCTGGCAATGTGGGATCGCTAGACTGCATGAAGGCTTCGGGTTGGAAATCGTTTGCCAGGATAAGAAGGAGAAGAAAGAGAAAAAGGACAAAAAGGCGCGGATGTGCGGTTATGCGGACCCCGAGAGACAGTTCTCCGGAAGTTATATTCCGTAACCTGTGCAGGAGAAGAAGGACAAGGACACCCAAATTGTGCAGTTCTACTCTCGTAGTCGTAGTACTTTTTAGACACGCTCCGCCAGTTTTCGCCTTCTCTCCTATTTCGCGCGCAGTTCGAGCTACTGCGCCAGGAGGAGGCTCCGGAGGACGACGAAGACTCCGACAAGGACGTCCAGAATCTCACGCCTTGGCCGCAGGCTCTTCGCTTCAAGCGCGCTTGTGAACCGCACGAAGCTGCAGGCATGACGACGAGCAGACCAAGTCTGTAATCGTCGTTCTGAAGGAGTTCGTGGACAGCAAAGGCCGGCCGGGCGCGGGCGTTGTGAATGCGGCACGCCCAGAGATGTTGCGCTGTGCAATGCTGCGCATCTCGGCAGGTGGCAAGCCCAGCAAGGCCGACTTCTTCGAAGAGCTGCGCATGCAGTCTCCTGGCGGCCTCTGGCGCAGAGCTGCCGCGACAGCAAGTTTTGTGTTGGCGTGGGACTGGGACCGAGGCAATTGGCAAAGGTGTTTGACAACAAGGTGCCCAGTGCCCAATCAAAGTCACAAGAGCATTCCAGCTAGGAAGCGGGAAGCTGACGGTGTGCAGGTGCGCTTGTTCATCGCCTTCGAGGCACGGCCTGGTGTGGCAGAGGCTGCGGGGTCGATTGACTGGAAAGCTTCGAACTACGGCAGGTGCTATGTGGCAACTCCATGGATGCCAAGGCGCTCAGTGGAGTCAGCGAGTTGATTGTGCGGCACCGAGCTGCTGCAAAGATTCTTCTTCTTCAGCCCAGACGCGGCATTCGTTTCGTATCGTGGCTGCGCGCTCTCGTTTCTCATCTCCGTGCACCAAGGACAAAGTCATCAGCAGCCCGCCTTCCTGGCCAAGTGTTGTCACACTCTGCACAAACTGGGGCATCATGTCACACCCTCATCGCACGCCCTTCCTTCTTTCCTCTCTGACTGAAACTCTCTCTCTCTCTCTCTCTCTCTCTTTCTCTCTCGTATATGCTCTTTCTCTCGGCCTCCCTTTCAATCTCTCGGTTTTTGCTTTTCAGTTTCTGCTATCTTCATGCCACTGGTTTTCCACGCCTGCTTGGAGCAGTGTTTTCTTGGCCCTTTGTATATATGCTCTCGGGTCCCGGGTCCCCCCCCCCCCCCCCCCCCCCATGGTATCCCCCCCCCCCCCGGAGCCCTTCCCTGTGATCCCACGTAAAGGCTCCAAAACCGTCAACTGTCACGAGGATGGCGCCCCTCACCGTGCGCGTCTCCCACATGAAGGCACCAAAACCGGTAACTGTCACGAGGATCGCGTTCCAAACACGCCCGATCCTTGTGACAGTGGACACCTTCTGTCCGAACCCAGGCAACTGTGAACAGGACCGCGTCCCTGACAGGCCCGATCTCTGTGCCCAATTGTCAGGAAGATTGCCAGTGTGACACAAGATGAATAAACAGAAAGGAACGACATGATGATGATCATGATGATCATGTTCATGATCTTGATGATGGTGATGATGGTGATGATGATTATTATACCAAACAGCCCAAGCAGGCCCAAACCCCGAAGCACGCCACACCGGGAGGGAGGCACCCCACGCAGACCAAAACCCCGAACCACGCCACATCACAGGGGGGGAGCAGGGGGACCATCATTTTCATGATGATGATGATGATGATGATGCTGATGATTATACAAAGCACCCCAAGCAGACCGAAACCCCGAACCACACCACACCACAGGGGGGGGGGAGGCAACCCACGCAGACCCAAACCATCCCAAACCCCGAACCACACCACACCACACCACGGGGGGGCAGGGGGACCATCATGTTCATGTTCATGATGATGATCATGCAGAGCACCACCGGATACCGCACCACAGGGCCCACACCACAGGGGGGGGGCGGGGGGACCCCACACCACAGGGGAGGGGAGGGGGGGACACCGCAGGGGCGGCGGGGGGGTAAAGCACCACAGCACAGGGCCCACACCACAGCGGGGCGGGGGGACCTCACACCACAGGGGAGGGAAGGGGGGGATACCATGGGGGGGGGGGAGGGGGAGGGGGGTGGCAGCCCTGCATCATATATACATATATAGTATGTAAATGTGTGTATGTATATATATATATATATATATATATATATATGCTCACCCCCCCCCGGTGACAGACCACGGGTCTAAAAAACACCGTGCACAACGATATTCTGTGAAGCAAAACCGTTACATGAGGTATATAGTATAGCACCAGACGTGCGGCACATGAGTTACGTAAAAGTCTTGTGGTAGTATCGGTATTAGGGTGAGTATGGTTGTTAATATTAGTACTATTGCTTGCTGTAAGTATACGTATCAATATTGCCAACTATAAATTAGTGTTAGTGCTCATGTTCGTGTTAGAGTTAGCGCTAGTGCCAGTGTCAATGTCAGTAATACAGCACCACTGCTACGAGTAGTATCAGTATCAGTCTTAATGCTGGGTTTAACAGCAGCTTATATTCGCAGAAGTGCTAGTATTAGTATCAATATTAGAACTAGTTAGTTTTGATATGTTAGTATATTGATAGTCTCGTATATTAGCAGATTAGTATATCAATACATCAATGTATTCGGACAGCAAAATATTTGCATACTTGTATACTAGTATATTTTACATGTTAGTACAACTGGTGCATGACTACACTACTATACTGCTGTATTAGCTTACTAGTATATTGACATACCAGTATATTCGTACGTTAGCATATTAGTGTACGAATATGTGTACTATATTACTGTTTTATCTAATCATGTATAAGTATATCAGTATGTTGGCATATTAGTATACGAACTTGTCATGTCGGTATTCTTGCATAGTGCAGTAGCCGTATATGTTTATAGTCACATATTCGTATAGCATATTCATACAACAACTAGAAGTATATTGATACATTGGTATATGGGTATATGCCTATGCCAAAGCATTAATACATGAATGCACTGATGTATATATCTGTATCTTAAGATAGTGGTACGTATTTTATGTGCATGAGTATATGCAGGTGTCTATTAGTAATGGTATTAGTTTTCATATCAATATGAATATACTATTGGTATTCGTAGGAGTATTAATGTCAATACTAGTAGAAGTAGGACTATTTATACTCGTAATAGCCATAATATGAGTGTTCATGCTGGTAATACTAGTGGCATTCTTGAATATGCAGCAGATTATCAAAGTCCGTATTAGTGTTGGTGATAGCACTACTGTTAACGCACAAGGGTTTACGTATTCGTATTCGTAGGAGTATAAATAGCTATGTAAATATTGATGTTAGTATAGATTTTGTGTTAAGTATTAGCAGTAGTGTTAGCGTTAGTACTATCATATTATTGATGATATACATTCGAAAGAATGTTTGTATTGTTATTACTCTTGACCACGTGAAATTCTAACAGTTGAATTCATGAGTGAGTTAAAGGATTTGTATTTTAATATGGTGGTATGCATGTTTATGTACATTAGTACATACAGGTGTGTGTTAGTATTGGTATTATTATACATTATTATCAATATGAATATGGTTATTGATATGCGTAGGAGTACTAAGAGCAATACTAATCAATCTTAGTATTTGTGTTATGCATATTCGTACTAAGCTTTATAGAAGTGTAATATTAGTAGTAATGCTGGTATTAGCTTGAGCATTCAACAAATGATCAATGTCAGTATGTTCAATGGCAATACTATATGTAGGAGTATCAATACATATATGTATATATAGATATACAGATAGATAGAGAGATATTCGTGTAAATATGGGCATGAGTATTGACAGCCCTTGCCTTTGCAAGTAATCTGGTCCGATGCGGAGACTAGCACGACAAGGCGCGCGGGTGTCCTACCAAGAAAGGAATTACAGAGCACACGTGTATGGATGAGGGTTGTGCTGATACACTACATAGTAAGCACTACACAGTAATCTTACTTGAGTCATATATAGAACAGATTCCAGCATTTCCAAAATTTCCAAAATTTCCAAAATTCTCTCCCCTAACTTTCCGCATTTCCAAAATTTCCAAAATTTCCAAAATTTCCAAATTTCCAAAATTTCCAAAATTTCCAAAATTTCCAAAATTTCCAAAATTTCCAAAATTTCCAAAATTTCCGAAATTTCCAAAATTTCCAAAATTTCCAAAATTTCCAAAATTTCCCGACCTAGTCGACAGGATTTTTCCAAAACATAAGGGCGGACTTTTTGGAAATTTTGGAAATTTTGGAAATTTTGGAAATTTTGGAAATTTTGGAAATCCGGAAAGTTAGGGGAGAGAATTTTGGAAATTTTGGAAATTTTGGAATTGAGGCTTTGAAAGCTGAGTGCCCCCTCCCCCCGATCACAGACCATGCGCTACGACTGAGTCGAAAGGGCATGGTCTGTCATGGGGGGGGGGGTGACCATATATATATATATATATATATATATATATCTCTCTCTCTCTCTCTCTCTCTTGTCAACCGTGCGATGCCTGCCTGGTGAGGGGTGATTTGGACGACAGGAAGTTGCCAGCTCGTGATGTTCTCTGGGCCTCGTCCTCAAGCACAAAGAAGCGGACAGAAGGGACTGGGACTCGCCATGTTTAGACCGGAGCGGGAGTTTCCGAAAATAGGGGACCCTAATATCTAGAACCCTAAATAGTAGGATTCTTATTATAAGGACCCCCAAAATAAGGTACCCCTAATTTTCGGAAACTCCCATCTCTGAGGCTCTGGATGCCTACCTCCAGGCCCGGAGGGTCACGTCTCACCCAGCCTTTAGCGCGGCCCTTGCAGGTGAACCCCGGAGTTTCAAAGGGCTTCGCCATGATGCTCAAGGTCGCCTACGATGAGGACAGCTGGATCTACACGGCTTACGGGGATCTCTTTGCATCCCTACTTGGCTCATTTTTCCAGCATCTCAGGACTGGGCGGAGGAGAAGGAGATCCTCTCGTGACCCTTGTTGACTCTTGCTTCTCCATTCCACAACAGAAAAGCGGAAGGTGTCTTGCCTTTCCAATGTCTTCATACAGCGCGTGGCACTGCTTCGGTTGCGATGCGTTCCCTGACCTTGCCTTCACCTTCGCGAAGTATCACAGTACATGCACCTATAAAGCCATGCGAGCCTTGACGGCTTCGGCTTCGGCTGTTCCCGAATTCGAGCCCGGACCTGGATGATGAGAGGTACTACCAGGAGGACGAGGGAGTCGGGGAGCCAGGTTTTGATGAGGCCAAGAAGTTGGCAGCACCATTCCTGACGTCGGGGCACCCAGCGCAAAGGCAAAGTCACAGACGCCTGAAGCCCGAAACGCCTTAGTCAAACCCCAAGCCCGAAAGCCCAGGTGGTTGGAGAAGGTCGATTCTGAGGAGGATGACGACGATGATGATGATGATGACGAGGAGTGGAACTGAAGCAAACCACGCAACGTGGATCGGGAGTCTAGGGAAGTGTAGGGTCAGGTTTTCAAGTTTTGGGATGTAGGCACCCGGAAACTTGCAGTCGGAATTCCTCTTGGCAGTCCCGCTTCATCTTACTAAGTGTCTAAGAGCAGCAGTTGCAGGACGACGACTAAAAGCAGCTCGCAAGCGCTTGATCCCAGAAGTGCGGCACTTACAGGGCATTCTTGTTTAGTGGTGCAGTCAAAACCGGATCCTGCTTTTCCAAGGAGGTACTGGGCGCAATCCCCTTCAGCCGCCCCTTTTTCGCAGCTACAGACGCCTTGGAACAGTGGGACGTCAATGCTGAAACCAAAATCGACCGCCGGCCCTGCTTGCCTGGGTTTCAGTCAGAAGGAGCTTGAGACCTTTAGGCAAATCCCACAACAGGTTCAGTTCCCAAAGCAAAACTGAAAGAGATCCTGTTCGTACGTGGTTTATGACTTTGCCCACGCAGACCTCCACCGTTCTGTACCTCCTCCTTGCCGCATTGGTCGCCATAGCCGTCTTGATTGCTGCGACGGCTGCATTTTGGGCTTTGGTATGTTTTTCTTGTGTCATTGTCGGTCCACCCGCGAACCATGCCAGCATGGTGTAAGGTTGTCCAGAGATTCGGCTGGCACGGGAAGTTGAAGCGCGCCTCGGAAGCATCCCGGAATGTCTGGCACAGGGAGTTCTAAAGTCGTTGTACCACTGTGACTTCGATCAGAAGGGCCTGCGTGGCCTGAGACTCGAGATGCCCGAGGCCTCTTCTTCCGGCTGGAGGCTCCTTCGACCTTGACGACAGCGGCATCACTTGGCATCGCACGTCCTTGTGAACAGGTTTTGTTGCATTTGACAATGACCGGTGCCAGGAAGTGCTGCTGCCCAAGAGGCCGCATCAAGTTCGGTTCCGGCCTCGACCGAGGAAGGGCGGTGGGCTCTGCCACTTCGCCCCATGAGTGCTGAGGCAGCCGGTGTTGAAGGCTGCTTGGTGAGCGTCGCCTCCGGTGCGGGCTTGGTGCGAGACTCTGGCATTGCGGAGATGTTGCGACCCTGCTGCCATCCTTCCGAAACGCAAACCGTCCCACTAGTGTCCCACTGCAGGACCCAGCGCTGCACGCACACGCGCGGTGTGTGACCGGTGGAGGCTCATGGCAAAAACAAAGCATCCCGTCCTTGCGGACTCGCAGAGCTTGTCGTGAAGCACATGACGCGAGAAGGTTGCTTTGTGAGCTGTCTGCGAAAGATGCTGCTTGATGGATGCAGAAAGCGAGGGAAAACACTGCACCAGGGGTTTTGTGTTGTTGGCGAAAGGAATCCTGAAGTCTGCAGCCCTCTGCATCTCCAGGCACCAGGCCCCCGACCGTCCCAGCTCAAAGCCCTGAAGTTTCTGTGTTAAGCTGTGCTACCTTATGCTACCTTCGACCTCCTGTGGAACCGAGCCCAAATACCCCCACACCCTGCTCAGCCGCGGCTCTCCAAAAGCCTTTGTGCCCGGCGCTGGCATTGCTCCGGACCACTCGGGAGTACTGGACAATGATTCAGCATAAGACTGTAGGACAACAATGAAGCTAACAATGCTCACAACACGTGGTTAATGGAACAGTCTATATCATTTGTTCTGCATCTCATGTAAGAAGATTTATTGAAGCCTGCTCGTCCAGCCAGCAGAGAGTCGGACTTGCCGTTCTCCAAGTCCTATCAGCACTCCGTGTATGCTGGTGAACAGGAATGGCTGTATAGGTTCATGCATGTCCGGCGCCATGGGGAAGACTTCCGTGGGCTATGCTCCGGTGGAGACTGCTGGCAAGATGGTCATAGGCACCTCTGCAAGCTGTCGCCGTGTAGGTCTGCCTGCATGCTTCATATTCCCAGCCTAACGGCTCTAGCAGGGTGTGCCGTGTGCGTCCGTTGCCTTGATGAAGCGAGGTGCCTTCGATGACGACGACGATGACCTCGAGGACCATGGCATCACGTGGAAATATGCGCCTCAGGTCTCAATAGACTGGAAGTTTTTCCTCTCAGGATGGCAAGGCGGTCTCAGCACCCCCTCCAAAGCTCGACCAGGCCTGGGATTCGAGAGACCTGGTCCGTACTGTGCCTTTCTGGATCCAGCTGCTTCAGGCGGACTTGCCTCTCAGGCAAGTGGCCTTTGCTGTCATTCTATATGCAGCTTGTTCATCCACGCTGCTGCTGATTAACAAGGCCACTTGGTATGAATCTGCTTTCTCGCTCATAGAAGTCGGTTCCTGTTGCCGAATGCTTTTGATGATGACGGATACACAACTTATGCAGCTTCCTGTGGACAGGTGGCGATGAGCTTCGTGCCTGATGCCTCGTTCATTCTCTTCTGCCAGTTTCTGTCATCATCGGTGACGGCAGCATGGCTTGCACTGATTCGGAGTTGCCCGCGGTGGGAGATTTCAAAATGGGCAGCCCTGAGGTGAGGCTGATCAGATGTGCTTCTCCAGATGCGGACATTGAGCTGATCCGTTGCTCGGCGCGACTACGCATGTGATTCAAGCAGCTGTCCGAAGCATCGCGCAGACATGCAGGAGATGTTCATAACCTACATACCATACATACCACCTCGTGTGCGAAAAGGATTTGCAGCACGAACTCGCCCCGAAGTTGTGAGTCAGGCTGGGAGAAAGCACGTCCTTTCTTTCTCGCCTGCCTCGTCTTCTTCCTCTGCCTCCTGGCGACTTGCTTGCAAGAAGCTATGTGTCTGTTGTCATCAGAATCATAATTACTCTTTGTGTCTGATTCTAGTGTTGACTGTCTCCCTTCCTGTATCAATTTTCAGATTTCCATCACCTTTTCCGCACTGCTGGTGACCACCATCACAAGTAGCAGTACCATGGGTGCCAGTGTCGCCAACTGCACCAGCACCACCGACAGCCCCAAGTACCAGAGCCAGCACCAGCACAGCAGCGGGAGATGCTGCTGTAGATAGGCAGCTTCCCAGATTCTGGAGTTTATTGCTACTAGCTACTAGTATCACCGTGATATCACTCATGCTTCTCGAGGCCAACACGCAAGCACTGAAGTCAGTGAATGTGGAGACGGTCATCGTAGCGAGTCGGGGCCTCGTCCGAGTGATGATCTTTCTCCTAGTTGCCTGGTCTGCCCTGAGTTATTAGGACATGGGGACGAAGGGTACGCATAGCATGATGCAGCCTCTGAATCTGATGGAGCTAGTGCATCTGATCGGCCTCAGTTGCTGACCCGTTCTGCAGGATCGTGCTCGCCGATTGCAGCGGCTTGCTCGAATAGAGGGCTTTGGGAACCTCATCTCGAGGGATCCTCATTGTCTGAAACTACCAAATGGATCAAAGGGTTGTGCGCCGCTTCCCGGTTTAGTTTCGACATTCGAGCACACGCTGGGAAGGCGTGTTCTTTTGCGGCAAGGTGTTCTTTGGTCAAGTGCGGACATGGTGCATCTTGATGTTGCGTCTGCTTCAGTCTGATGTGTAGAAATAACTGCCACGATTCACAGAGCAGCAATGCTTTGTGCAGTGGAACAAAGGTCTCCATCTTGGAGCATTTCACCTTGGGTAGGGCCCTGCCGAATGCGGCAGGGGTGCTGTCTTTGGCGGCGACTTGATCCAATCGTGCGGAATTCGTTGTAGACGCCTTTTTGACGCCATGCAGCAGAGCAAGAAGACAACTGCAAGTTGCTCCAGGTTTGTAAAGATCTCAGCGTCAGCACCATGGTAGTTGCATGATTCTCTCAGGCAATCGCTGGAGGGGCGGTGATCTATGTCCTCTCAGATCAGGGCTTCCAAATCGACGGGTATTCATGGCTGCTGTTGTATTTTGTGGCTTGGCCCGACAAACCCTGTAGGTCGTTGAAGCTAGCAACCACATCATTGTCTTTGCATCGTCGTACGCCGCTCCTGATGTGGAAAATTCTGAGCTTGAGGCGTATGCGGAGTGTAGTGGCAAGAGTTCCACACGTTCTCGTAGTCCGTTGTCTGCCCAAGGTGTTTATCGTTGTGGAGATGGTTTTCGTGAAGTTCGTCGTAGACACGGTCCCGATGTCGACGTGGACGCGTGTCTACTACAACAACACGTTGCGCCTCTGCTGAAAGGAGGAATGGAGCACTGGGGTCACAGAGCGGACGAGAGTATGCGTGCAGCGTATAGACTCGGATGATATAGGGTTCCTTCCGGAAGCTCGCCCTCCCCATTCCCCAAACTCTCAAACTTGTGTTTGCTCCATCGTGAGGGACATGACATCAGGTCGCTTCCCATGGTGATGGTTTCCTCGCTTGTAACGGGCTTTGGCGCCTTCTTGAAGGCTGGCCCATGTGTTGTTACCATCATTGCTACCATGACTCCGAGAGTACAGGCAGCTGTACTAAGAACCGTTTACACCCAAGGCAGGGAAAGAACGCTCAGTCGAGCAGGGCCTTCCGGCAACCAACACCAGCAGGTCAAACGACCCTGAGCTTGATCGGTGCATCTTGCATATTTCAGCAAGCTGCCAGAGTTGGCCGCCAGCCTTTCGCTTTGAGCAGATGGTAGTGGCGGCTCCTGGTGGTGGTGGCCGTGGTGGTGGTGGTGGTGGTGGTGGTGGTGGTGGTGGTGCCGGCGGCGGTGGTGGTAACGGCATCAGCGGCAGTCACAGGAACAGTAGTAGTCGCAGTATCCGTAGTGGAAGTGGCAGTGCTAGTAATTGTCGGTTGGGCTGATCGTAGCAGCGCTAATCGTCGGCGAAGTGGTCGTGGCGGTGGTACCAGCAGCAGCGCCAGTAGAAAATAACAACGACAACGGACATGCGTGACCAAATAGAGATAGTTGTGGTCTGCCTTTGCCAGGTGGAATGGGGAATGGCCCATGTTGTGATGGTGGCTCTGTCCTGCGTGGTAGGCCAGGAGACCCGTAGAACAGCAGCCGGCCGGTTGAATCTTCTTGGCTTCCGCTTCCACGTTCCCAAGCACCACAGCAACAATGGTAATGATTTTGTTGACGACGTGGTGGCGATGATGGTGATGATGATGATGATGTTTCATGATGGTGTTGGTAGTGCTGGTAACGAGGATGATGCTGCTGATGACGATCGTCACGACCAGTTGCCAGAATCGGGATGGTCGTAGTCATGTCTCTACATGTGAAACCACGGCTATAGCCATGGAGGAGTCTTCCTTAAGGGAAACGAGTAGGATGACGCTGTTGTTGATTGTATTGCTGCCATTAACTAACCCTTGTATTCGCACCGCTTCTTCTTTCTACTCTCACAACTACTATAGTTCCTCTTTCCAGTTCTGCTGCTTGGACTGACGATGATCATGTTGGTGAGGGCACCAATGAAGATGCTGCTGCTGATGATAAGAGCACTAGCAACTAGTAGCATCGACATGGGGATAACATTGATGCTGCCATGTTTGCCACAGTTGTTATCATGATTGGCGAACTGATTCTTGTCGGCCTCGTGCTTTCTTTCTGGGCCGGAAGGCGTGGCGATTTCCTATGCAGGGATGCGTCCTCAGTCGCAGCACAGTGAAGGGGGGGCAGGCAGTACTTTCCCGCCCAAAGCCCCTGCATGCCGAGAAGGTGCTTGCAAAGAGAGATTCAGCGTCTCTTTGTCCTGAACCTCCCAGCATCAACCTTCAATGTCAAGGTTCAACCTGCGCAAGGCCGTCTCTGCAACCTCCTTCACTGTTATCGGCCGGCAGCTCGGGTAAGCCTTCGCAGCCAGACCTGCCAAGATGGTTTTCCATTACTTTTTGCGATTACGACGAGATATGAATGATAAGCAATGATAGGGTTAGTCTTACCTCCATCATTATTGTGCTTCTTTGTCTTGCTGCTGTGGTTGTTACTGCAAGTCTCATCTTCTCAAGTCCCCAGAGAAGCCAGGACTTGGCTTTCGCAAAGTATGACTCTGACAAGGTGTCCTGTGCAAGCTCCTCACTGTCCTTCTGAATGACACAGTCTTCGGCCCCAGTGAAGCGCATTGGACAGCCGAAAATGTGCAATCTGGACTGAACTAGTTTCTAGTTAGCCAATTATATGTTTGTATACATATATATATATATATATATATATATATGTGCAGAGAGATAGATAGATCGGTACATAGATCCATAGATAGATATATTATAGGTAGATAGGTTCATCGATAGATAGAAGCGATAGATAGATAGACAGACAGGTTCAACGATAGATGAACATTAGATAGAACGTATCCGTGCACGCTAGCAAGTTGGCCCGCACCATCATTGTTGCAGTTTTTCCGAAGCTTCTTGCACGTCCGAGGGAGCTGGAAATCATGCGACTGCCATGCATATCTGTGATGCGCAGATGCACTGCTCTTCTTCTTGTTGTTTTGTTGCTATGGTTATGCAGGCCTGGGGCATGATTAGTCTGCATACCATCACACTGTCGCTTCTCAATCCTGTTTCCATCAGAAACATGTGCGGCTAGCCTGCCTGAATTAGGCCGCGAATTGACGAAGGTTGCTGCCGTGTCGTCTCCCAAATGAACCGCCGGGGTGGTCCTTGGGTATGGCATTCCTACCGACCCACCAATTCGTAGAATTAGTATTACTAAGTCTTCTCATGACTACTATTGCTAGTATTAGTATTATGTATTACTATTAGGCTAGTTGGACAAGGCCTGAAGAGAGCCTGAAGTCCCGGTCAGAAGGAACCCCGAAGGTCTGGAGCAATCATTCCAACTTCATGGGCCACCTTGGGCTGCTGCTTTGCATCGCCGCAGGCCTCCAAGGGCAATGCAGCATTCTTTGAAGGTGTATAAGGGTTCCTACAAGGGTTACTATGAGTTTTGGTACGTCCCTGGCATTGAAATCCTGAAATGTGCAATGCACACCGCGGGTGTGCTGTCGGATGATTTCACAGTTCTCGGAGCCGTTGCAGCCTTGCTCAGGCTTTGCATACGAACGGACAAAGGCCAGGGTGAAGTGTTGCAGTCGAGTCATGCCAGAAGTTTGTTGACCCGAGTGTTCCAGTTTTCTTGCAGCGTGAAGTCCAGTTTCCCAGCAAGCAAGCCCACACCCTGTGGCAACTGGGCGAGTGATTTGACCCCTTGGATGCCAGGCGCCGAGATAGGCAGGGAGATGGGACGGCTGGAGCACCTGGAGACGGGCGGGGCTGTTACTTACCCTGGAAGGCTTGAAAAAACAAAAGCTGGGCTACACGAGTGGAGTTGTCAACGTGATTAGTGTGCCACCTACTCCTGCCTCTGTCCGTGTGCCGGTACGTCTGGGCAGAAGCGTGCCAAGGTGCAAGCGAATGAGGCACTGAGAAAAGGCTCAGTGACCTCGCAATTCGGATACTTGCTGCAGTCCGGACACTGAACCAAGCCACCACGTGAGAAAACTTGCCTGCTTGGGTCTGCCAGGATGTGGAGTGACAACCCTCGTGTGGTGGCGTACTTTCCATGTACTCGCCATGCAGCCGTTTCAAGCATTGAAACGGATCCTGCCGTCGCCTATCAAAACATCTGTGCCCAACAGCGGCCTGCTTGCATTCTGTCCTTTCGGAGTTTCTGAAGAAGACCCTTCAATCTATCAGTTGGAAGCGAGCTCTCTTCATAAAGAAAGGTGCACACCCAGGGCAGAGCCTAACACAGAGTTCGAAGAACTTCCGCTGAGGGTCCTACTTCGAACTTCCGCTGAGGGTCCTACTTCGAACGTGTCCTTTTTCTATGCTCCTGTGGCGGCGGTAGTAACTTTCCACGCTTCGGTAGTTGTTACTGCCGGCGTACTTGCTGCGTTACTCGCTACTCTACAAGATGTGCTACTTCTGTGCTGCTTTGCTGCTTTCGCAGTTTGTTGCGTTATTGCTTTCGCTGCCTGAAGCCAGTACCGTACTCCACTGCAGCTTCATGCTGTTTGGTGTTGGTGTCGCTGGTAGTGTTTGGTAGTGGTAGTAGTGATGAAAGTGGTAGTGGAAGTGGCGGTGGTGGTAGTGGTGGTGGCAGTAGTAGTAGCAGATGTGAGAAGAAGAAGAAGAGGTTGAGGTAGTTGTAGCAGTAGCGGAAGCAACGGCAGCAGCAGCCGTAGCAGTGACTTTAGCAATTAGCAGTCAGCACTTAGCAGGTGCAGGTAGCAGGTGGCAGGTAGGTGGTAGCAGGTAACAGGAAACAGTAGCAGTAGCAGCAGGTGTAGGCGTAGCTGCAGGCATAAGTGTGTGAGTAGGCGTAGGAGTAGGACCATGTTGCCATATGGTATGCTGCAGTCTGGCGCGATGTTGCGATGCGTGGCAGTGCTAGTCCTTCTGCAAACTGAGGCCTTGCATGTGCAGAGTGGTTGGCTTGACGTGTCTCTTCGTGCTGGCTGCGACTGCGACTGCGATTGATGCAAAGCATGAGCCAGGGCAGCTTGGCTTTGTGAAAGGTCTGCCATCAGTTGGCATGGTTAAGGTATGCTGTAGTATATTGTAGTATAGTATATATTATACTATGTTATGTTATAGCAGATGAGAGCAACGCTTTTTTTCGAGGCCTCATGTAACGCTCCGTTCCATCCTCAGGCCCACACAGAAGGATGTAACACGGCATCAAAGCCGCTTGTCTGCAAGTAGTACCTGACAAGTTCCGTCAGACAGTATGATATCCTTCATGTTGGATTCTCTTGCAGATGAGCTTATCCCATTTGAGGGATCTTCGATTTGGTGCATGGCAACCATCTCAAGTTGCACAAGAAACTCTGCAGTGCTGCTCTCCAGGTTTCGTTGTGGATAGCTCTGCAGAAATGCGCCTGGATCATCCAGCACCCTCGCCGCTGCTCTGCGGCAAGTCAGAGCAGAAGGCGTCCAGAGTTCAAGTCGTGCATAACCCCGGGCAAGTTGAGGCAGCTATCGCACCTGTTGCCCGCGGAGGATCTAGTTTCTGCACTGCTTCCACGCATAGGAAAGCAGGGAGGGCTGCAGCTTCTGCCGCAGGAGCTGGCATCCTCCGATGCGGAGTATGGAACTTAGTGTGCTTGCAGGGCACATCACGGCAGCTGGCTGTAAGTCTGCAGAGGCATATTACGTCCGGAATAAGTTTTTTCGTGAGTTTAGCGGTGCACAGCTTCACTGGGAGAAGCTCCCGCACTTCCGATCAGAGCAGGCAACCATGAGCGGCATCGTTGCACATGCAGAGCCTGGTTTAATGTAAGGCGCGACTACAAACCGCCTCAGCGATTCAACAGTCAGAAAGGTCCTGCAAACACGGCGAGGGCAGAAGTCAACAGAAGAACCCTGCGCAGAATAGATACCCGTCTGCTACTCCAACTTCAAAGGTTTAGGGAGCGCACCAGTACCACGTTGACTTAGCGCAGCTTTCGTCGTCAACCATAGAGATTCGATGCGATTCAAATGTGGACCTTTGACCCGACAGCCCAAGTCCGGCTAGCAATGCAGAAGGGGCAGTTCTTGGCTCTTTGCCTCGAGGCTTGCGCGGGTACAACTACTGCGGTCTGAACCGTCAGCGCCTGCCAGCCTATCGCAAGGCGAGCGGAGGAGCGTGGATTATGGCGATGACAGATTGTACGCGGTGCCTAGTGTGGCTAAAAGATGAGCAAATTTCATCATTTGTTCAAGTGCCTGTCTTGTTGTGACAGACGGAGACAGACATACCAGAAGGTGCTGAAATCACGATGGAGGTGTTTGCGATCATGGTAGTCATCACTGTTTATGGCAACTCTGATGCTGTTTCTACTGTCATTGTGACGCTGCCTGGGTTATTTTTCCACCTCTGTTGCTCTTGTGATGGCTGCAGGACAGGGTGAGAGCTGTCTTGTGCGGTATGCTCATACTGTACCATACGTCTTTGTTAACCCCTGCAGAGAGAGTCGGCAGATTCCTAACTAGATCCCAGATTTTGAATTTTGCCTCGGTCGGCAGAAAGGTGCTGGTGGGAAGGCCGCTGCTGGCCTCAAGCCCACTCCCAGGCCAAGTGGGTGGATCTGAGGGCATAGAGAACACATTGTGCAAGCCTTCAGCTGTCGAACAGTTCCCACCAGCCCCACCACGCCCTTGGAAAAGCTGGAAGCATGGAGTTTCAGCTACCAATTGTCCTGTTCGGGACCTTATTGCCAAGTACAAGCAGAATGGCACGTGGATTTTATTGTGCTCGTTTTCGCACTTCTATTTCTCTGGAAGGCTGGCTACCTGCGCAGGGGCAAAGCTGGAGCGGGGCTCAGGATTTCATGAGTCTTGGCTTGGTGCCGACATCAGACAGCAGCGCTTATTAGGACATTTTGTATAAAAGGAATATAGAACTCGAGTTTGCCATGCTAGAGAGCCTGACCTGGAACGTACACCTGCGTGTTGCTGCGACTCCGCCATTTCATGCTCACAGAGGCGTGCACGGCGGCAGCCGATGTGGATCCATGCAAAGGGACGGACTGCCTCGGGTTACTTGGATGTGAAGTTAGCCTTGCGGATTTTCGGTAGCTCAGGGGCCCGGACGGTGTTTCAAGTGAGCTGCTGCGCCAGAACCAAGGCATCATGCATGTATGGGCTCTGGCTACAGGACTGGGGCTCGGCAAATGCGGTCGTGGTTACAGCCAGGAGTTTGACGTTCCGCAGGGCATGGGTTTCACATCTAGGTCAGCATGACGTAACTCTAGGACGGGGCAGAATCCAGTATCTTGTTCCGATCCGGCGACAGTGTGAAGAGATCCATCTACCGTGCAGCTCAGATCATCTTGCTGATAATTGGCAGTACTACGTTACACTATCCCTCTCCTTACCTCTTGCTCTCTTTCTCACTACTTGTATGCTAGCCCTTGTGGATTATTTTCCAAACCTACAGCAGAAGCCAGAAAGCTGGAAAATCGTTGTCCTCATGCCTTTAAGACAGAGCAGATGGAACCCCAGCACTAAGCATCCTAAATCCATGTTCCAACTTTTTGGGGTTCACTGTACTTGGAAGGAACTGTGCCATCAGAAAGTCCGGACCCTCAGGCGCGGGCACGGATGCCTTCAGCGATGATTGGGAAGCTCTTGTGTCTAGATCGTGGGAGGGTTGAGATTCTTTGCAGCTTTGGGGCTTTTAGGGTGCTTTTGTGCCTGAAGCCAGCGGTTGGACTTGCAAGGCCCTGTTTGTGCCACCGAAGACGAGGGCTGCGTTCCAGCATGCCCGGATCTTAAACCAGACGATGTTGCACTATCTCATCTCATGCCATTTCACCATGTCCTGCGGAGTGTTGCGGGATTCGCTGGGGATCTGTCGAGGTGAAGGGGCTCGTGCAGGCAGCGCTGCGGACTGCAAGAACCTGCCGCGAGGGACCCAGTGTCGCGGAACCTACGTCGTCATCGACAACGTGGCCACCCAGTGTTTTGCAACGTCGGGGTCTCAGAAGCCAGACTGGCACAGCGGTATGGAATGTACTCGGCACAAGCACAAGTCATAGTCTTGGTTGCCAGTCATGCCAGCAGTAGCAACGCTGGTTCTGCCACTGTTTGGGAAGCATGAACACGGCGGCAACAATGGTAATTTCTCGGCGCGATCACAGCGCAGAGCTCACGAACATGACAACAGTGCCGAAGGCTCGGGGAGGACGACGTGGAGGTCGAGTGTGAAAACGGTTCGCCTTGTGGCGACGCAGAGCGCGAGACCCTTCGCTGCAAGACATTTGGCATCTTGCAGATTCAGCCAAGCCCCGCAATTAATGCCAGTACCCGCGGCAGTTCGCTGTGGCTCGAAACCTACAATGTCCAAACTTCGTTCCCTACTTCAATCTCTGACACCTTCAGCCCCGAATGGGCTCGAAGCCGCCCCCAGACCGCCCTGATCCTCTAACCGCGCCTTCGGCCCAGGAACCCGTATCAGGGAGCGAGGCAGGGCCATCCTCAGTGCTTTTATTTCGTCCTCGAAGTGGTAGTAGTAGTAGCAGCACCAGTAGCAGGAGCAGGAGTAGTAAGCAGGAGCAAGAGCAGTGGTGGCAGTGGTAGTGGCAGTGGCAGTGGCAGCAATAGAGCAGTAGTGCAGCAGTACTACCGGTAGTAGCAGAAGTAGCAGTAGTAGCAGTAGCAGTAGTAGTAGCAGTAGTAGCAGTAGCAGCAGTAGTAACAGTAGTAGCAGTAGTAGCAGTAGTAGCAGTAGTAGCAGTAGTAGT